CTCTCATACACACACACACACACACACACACACACACACACACACACACCGTCATACAACACAAACGTTATAAATCCAAGGAAGCAACGTCGCATCTTTTCCCTTTTTTAAATGCATCAGTCAGGTGCAGCGATACTCCACTTGTCGTACAAACGCACGCCAGCAACAACACTTGCAGCCCCTTGAAACGTCAACACATTGCAACTGATACTAGTGTGCTGCAGATTGCAGWGAAGGCGATGAAATCAAACAGGTGCAAGTCTGCGCACTGATGCAAAAAATCAGACAGGACGTAAATTGTAGCTTACCGTGAAAATCATGAAGAGGAAGCCTGCCGAGCGCCGACTGTCAGAAGAGCAGATGATCCTGTGCAGATGGTGATGCTGCTGCTGTTGGTTCCAACTCTTTTTCTACTGGGTAATGTTGCCCCCTGCCGGTTAGAGAAGGTAACCCCACCCGACTGCCCGTATTTATTCTCTTGGCGAATCTGTTTTCTTCATCGTGAAAAATTAAAATTTTATGTAAACACTTTATTATCTATCTATCTATCTATCTATCTATCTATCTATCTATCTATCTATCTATCTATCTATCTATCTATCTATCTATCTATCTATCTATCTACTTAATTACTTACGTGTAATCTTTGATTTTGACTTGGAAAGAGCAACAGCCCATCTGAATAAAACCACACTCATTTATAAAACTTGCAGCCAACAAAACATGTTGGGCATCTTAATGTAATCTGAATCCAAACAAAAGAAATTCTGCTTAAACTATCCTCTTCTTATTTTATAGCAGATACTCTGCGTAGACTAGCTGGGATGAACCAAAGGATGGATTTGAAGGAATTTCTCAAAAAGTTATGCCTGAATGCATATCTAAAACACATTAACTTTTAGAGACAACTTTAATCAAGATGGCCACCACAGCTAAATAAACACCCGCTAATAAACTTAGCAAACACTAAATTGGATACAACAGTCAATGACATATTTTGAGTTCAAATTTGGGGTGGTGYTAACTGTTATTGATCCCTAACACACACTCTGATCCATAGGGCAGTGTTGGAAAAGCATTTTTTCCAGGAATGCTTGTTTCATGAATAATTGTGCATTCTAAACCTGAAAGTGAGTTTTTTTTCTCAACTTGGATTAAAGGCACAGTGTGTAGGATTTGTTGTTTTCAGCGACATCTAGTGGTTGAATCATCCACCCGGTCCTCCCCCCACCCCCACCCCCTGCTTCCAAACACAAAGGAGTTGCTACGGTGTCTCTCAGGTGTCAAAAACCTTTGATAATTCCAACCGCGATGTCTACCAGCAGCTTCAGGGCTAGTGATGTTTCAAGTGGTAAGATTATGAGCTTTAATAAGTAAAATCATCCCAGCTACAATGACAGACAACAAATATTACATTTATAGTATTACAACTAAAACCGTTTTTGACGCCGCCACCGCAGTTTGTCCTTCATGAGCCTTCGTAGACAAGATGGCGGCTGCCTGTAGTGGCGACCCGCGACCATGGAGATATAWACAGCTTTTTATAAGGTAAAAATAATAAAACAAGGTCTTTGTCTGCAATGATTAGACATGCTTTTTATTATTGTCATTATTGTTTATCTCAGTTTCGGCTAAAAGAATTGACAAAATCCTACACACTGTGCCTTTAAGTACTTCATTTTTTGCACCACATGCCTTCTAACAACCGCAGACATTATAACCATTATAGCCTTTATTGCTCAATGCAGAAGCAATACTGAAAGTCATGAACCAGKATAAAAAAAATCATGAGATGTTTTGTCACTGCTGACACACACTGTATACAGTATGTACTCCCTTGCTCAAAAGTGAGTACACGGCTCACTTGTGTTGCCAGAGGGGGTTGTATACAGTATTAATGGCTGTATGTTGAGTGTCATATTGTCAGGGTTGTCCTATGAAAAGATATCAAATATTTTGTGAGATGTTACATGCTCAAATGTTGATGTGTTTAGTTTGTTTTCACATATTTAAATATGAATATGCAACAAACTCTAAACACATGAAGAAGTGAGTTTGGCTTGCTGCAATCTCTAAACAGCCAGGATAATAATATTTTGGTCTTTTTCAAAGTGGGCCAGTAGTTTTCCTCTTGCTGCTCTTAGCTGCAGGTCTGTCTCTGTGGACCGCACCTGTTCATACAGTGTAACRAGGGCATCAGCTCTGTGTATTTCACAAAACAACCTAATATTCGTGTGGTTAGAGATGTTCATTTCAATTTGACTTGAAAATAAACTTTAGTTTCAGGGGAGTGGTGAATTCACTGTCCTTCACCTAAACTTTCAGCATCTTCTTGATCTGTTTAGTAAACTGTGTTGTCTACATACATTTGTGTTTAACTGCATGCTTTTCTTTTATAGGTCACAGAGAACTTGTAGCTGCCTGTCATGTACTGAGCATAAGAAAGCAATCACCCACACAGCAAAAACATTTCGAAACTTCTAGAACTTGATGTGACGTGCCTTTAGATTCATCGAAGGCAAACAATGAAGGGTGTTTTTTCTTTCAGTGGTAGTATCTTCAGTATCTTTGATGCAATTTCTAATAAACCTTTTGTTTATGGTTGCCGTAGGGCCACAGGTGTATCAGTGGGAATGAATCAACCCCTCAATGAACAAATCAATGACTCACAGGTTAAGCAGTTTGGATACATCACAGTAATTAATAGTGTACTGTATTCGCTCAGCTGAAGCTGAGAAACTGCACACCTTTTAATTACGCATTTCCACGAACACCTCCCGCTGTGTCATTAAATTTTCAGAAGCCGTATGCCTCAGTTGGCTTCAGGTAATGAGTATCCATTGTCCCAGCTGTGATTTTCCACTGACCTCATCTGTTTTTATCCTGCATGGAAAACTGTATCAGCAGGCGAAGCACTGAAATCATTTTATACAAGTCCTGCACAAGGTTCCATTTGGAGAAATGCTAGAAACATATACTTTTATCTTCTCTTGTGTCTGGGTGGAGCTTTTACTTCTTTTTTTCTACCCCTTTTTTTTGGTGTAATGTGCACCTTGTTCACCTTGACCCTTTTCTCACAGTTATTTTGCTTTTGTTATTAGTTCATTTACTTGTGTTTGCACAAAACATTTATGCAAAGGTATAAAGTATTATGACACAAGAAATGACTAAGTAAAAAGTAAAAATATTGCTTTACATTTACTCAACTTGGTTTAGTGGAACAAGTTGACGTAACTTGGTTGAGTAAATTCAACACTATTTTTAGAATACATAAACACCTTTCATGATGAGCAGGTGTTAGATTTTAAAGTAAAGAAGTGAAAGTATCATTTGTAAAAGTCACAATTTAAAAAATATTTGTTAAATTTGCAACTCCTCAATTACTTAAGTATTGTAACGAAGGAAATGTACTTAGTTACTATACGCTTCATGCAAATGTTCCCAGAAGAACATCTGCATYATAAACAAAAACAGAATAAGTTATTTATGTTGTGCTCAGTGTAATACAAGCTCTCTGTGCATTTAACACTATAGAGCAACACGTTCAGTAATGATGGCTGCATGGTTCAGTGTGTATTTTGAAAAGTACAAACTGACAGATGAGAAAATAAAAAGGTAATTACAGAACTATCATAAGTTTTATGCACAAGTCAGCCATGTTGGATTTTGAGGRGGTATCTCTGACTTTCAAAGTTTGGACTTAAAGGCTTTTCAGCTGCTTTTACAAACGTTGAACTTGGAAACTTTAAAAACTCTGACTACAAATGGAATGCACCATTTTATTCTTCACTTATTCGTAAATTGTGAAAAGTGATCATCAGTCAGGAGATTGTTAATCTCCAGTTTAATTCGAACTTCAATCATTTTGGGCTTTTTGCACTTTGGTCACTCTGCACCTTTTTGTTTGTAGCAAAACTAGGTGCCTGCTATAAGTTGTTATAAACTCATCTTGACAGCCGCGCAAACACTGATGGTTTAACTTACTGGGGACTTTTTGAATAATTCGGACTTGATAAGAAAGTGTATTGTTTTAGAAAATGTGTAGTTAAAATTTGAAACTGTTAAAAAGCAAAAAGGACATATTTATACATTTTGTGACTAAATATTTAATATGAGTTTAACCGGCACCTGAAACGTCTTTTAAATCAAATGAAAAGGTATGAAAGTAAGTACACATTTTTTAACGTGATAATACAAATTTGACTAACTAAATGATAAGGTAAATAGAAAAATAACACAAAAACTCTACAGTTGCATGCAAAAACGGGGATTTTCTGTAGGATTTTATTTATGATAAGACATCCATCCATTTTCTTTACGCTTCTTCCTTGATATATAT